GAAAATAAAATGCCTTGCGACAAGGGGTTGCAAAGATTTCCAGAGAGCTCTGTTCTCACGCCTTTCAGATTTTCTAAAGGCTTGTCACAATCCACAGACATCTGAAAAAGATCTCAAAGAATACCTTGGCTTTTCTTCCCCAGGGGAAAACTCTGATTTTGAGAAGTTGCTCAGAGGATGGGAAAATCTTGCAGACCTGTTTGCTGCAAGCATCGCTGGATCTCAGCTGGGTTGCTCCTTCATTCAGCCAGCCGCTGGGCAATTGTTCCCCGCCAGCCCTTTCTGGTGGTCCTCCAGGCCAAACAGTTACTTCTTTGGGCTGCTCGTTCCACCAGCAAAGGATGCACCGTCAGAAGGAACCGCTCTTTTTATCTCCCCTGAACTTAGCCCCAACAAATTTACATTCCAGCCTTGCGAGAGAAAAGCTCGAATTATTCAGTGGGCAAATGATTCAAAGCCTTACCTGCTTTCCACTGTATGATCCCAAGGGAAAGGTGGCAGCTTGAGGCCGGAGGATGGACTTGCCTTCAGGAAGATGCAGATCTCTTCATCAGCATTTCCAGTTCAAAAAGTGGAAGTGAGAAGGAGACAGCCACTGCCAGGGGCCTCCAACCTGTGCCCTGCAGACTATTGCTGGACCACAGTTCCAACAATCCTTTGCCATCAGCTTTGCTGGCTGGGGCTGATAGGAACTAATGCCTGTAGCCCCTGGCCACTGCAGTGGAGAGCCTGGGCTTCATGTCCTTTCAGCATGAAACACCTTTGCGCATTCTATTCAAGCAACAGGACAGCCCCCTTTCCATTCTCCCCATTGCTGATGGCTTTACTAGACTTATGAGACTGAAATCCATGGGGTCTGGTTTTTAAGAACACATCCACATCTCCTCCCTATTTTCATCCATTCTTTGGCTGATCGGCAAGCAGCTGCTTCATACGATACCCCCTCCCCTCCCCTCCAGCGTTGCCTTCCAGCCTCTGCCTGCAGTCTGCCACAATCCGTAGCTGCTTCCCATTAAGAAACGTCTGTGTGCGTCATCTGCGGTTAAGGCCAGCTCCAACCACAGCGTGCCCTCAAGTGCTGCGGTTCCTGAGAGGTCATCCAGGTCCTTCCAACAGGACAGAAACTCTAAGCGTTGGCCACTGCCTGCACCCAGGAGGCAGATCTTCCTATATGCAGCCAGGACATAAAACGATAAAGAATTCAGGGTTCCTCACCAGGTCCCTGACTGTCCACACGTGCATTTCCCGCCAGGCCCAGGAGAAGTCCCTAATGAAGCCATTTGCACCGGGGCAAATGCTAATGTCTGGACAAGCAACAGCCCATCTTTAAGAGGCCTCTGCACTTTTTACTGTGGACCAACTGAAAGAACCTGCTGGTTCGGATCCGAAGTTGCATCTTCGGTCTGCAACTTTTGGGACAGGCTTGGGGCTGCGTATCTTGCGGTGTGCCTTCAAAGTCAGGCATTTGGAGGGACCCAGCCTTTGATCTTGGCAGTTTCGTTTAGCAGTGACATGTGAGGATGTAAACAGAGTTTATTTTATCAAATCCAAGCACATAAGCAATCTAAGGGGTTTACCCACCCATACTCAGACATTGGCAACCTGCGGTCTAGCAACCTGAAATCCCCATGAAGCTCAGTTCCACCTCCTATCCAAAGTATTTAGGTTTTCCACGTAGGCACAGCCCGGCCCTTACTTAACTAACTAGGTTCTTTTCCAGCCCGTTGTGTTCCCGTAGGGAGGGAGGAATGCGTGTAAAAGACAATGAAGAAATCAGTTGTCACTGCCGTGCAAGTTAAAATGGAACTTAAATCAATCCATTCTCGGCAACAATGACTTTAATTATGCTTTTAACATGATTTTACTGCTTCCTTTGCACCCTCCCTCTTCTATCCATGTCCAACAGAGATGCACGCATATCCCGCTTCACCACACCACATCTGTGTGAACAATATCAGAAAAATTTATGATTTTTTCCCTCTTCCTGTAATTACAGACACACAATCCCAAGCTCAGTGTATCAAAATACTTGCTGAGCCATCACACTTTTTCTCGCGTGAGGTTTGCACAGACAGAAGCCATTCAAACTTCAAAAGAGAGAGAAAGAGAAAAGGCAGGAGGAGGAGGAGGAGGAGGGAGGGAGAGAACGGCATAAGGGTCAGATTGGGAACTCTTTCCCAGCTGTTGAAATCTTCCCCAAAGAATCTCCTTGCTGACCAATATTCTGAGATATTTATAGGCAGACCAGAGGGCCTGCAAGGAGAGTTTGCTTGGGGAAGGAAGAAACAGGCAAAGCCGCCTTCTTAAAGGGGTCTGATCCCAGAGCGCAGAATACACCCCCCTGAATTTCAGGTTCCTGGAGAGGGAGAGAGAGAACGAGGGAGGCACGCAGGTTTCTGGCCTCCCCCCCGCCCCCCCAGGGACAATGAAAACCCTCTGGGATGTGCCTAAATGTCTGAAAAGGGAATTAATGCCCCTGCAGGAACTCTCAGGCAGTTAGATGCCCTGCAGGTTTTGCATCGCCATAGAATTCATCACGGGGCAGGAAGATCAAAGGGGCTTTTTGCTCAGGACAGAGAATGGTTACAGCCGGAAACAAATCAAAACACTCTGCTTCGGGTTCTGCCCTTGCGCTCCCAGCTGAAGCTGCTGCATTGATCTGGAGCGGAGAAACTGGCCGGGTGGCCAGTTATGTGCACACCGCCGCACCAGTCTGCAGCCCCTACGGCCAACCGATCCTCAGACCGCCGAAGCCTAACCCTAAGCCAGCCTGTCTTTACGAAGACACTCGGAAAATGATCTTGAGGTGATTGTTTCCTGGGCAAAAATATTGCCATCTGAAAGCAGATCAGATTGCCGGGAGGAATCACACGCACAGATAACCCCAATACACCAAACTGGAATTAAAATATGTATCAGATACAGGAACGTGCAGATAGCTTTGCTGACCTGATCAGATGCCCCTCTGGCTTCTACCATTTCATTAATAAGGGGGTCCTGCTTCCGCAAGCTTAACTTCAAGCCACGAGGGCTAGGAAGTGCTTTTCCCCTTGGATGCTGAATTCCAGACCAGGAGTCACAAACTTTAAAGAGCACCTTCCTTCTCTCTCTGAAGTCCTCGACCAGATCAAGAGTGCCTCTGAGGGCGCAACGCTCACTGCAATGCCGAAGCTCATCGCCTCTAAATTCTACTGTCTGCCCTTTGCTGGGGAGAGGGTGAACACGCTGCCAATGAGACAACCGCCTACCGCAGCAGCATTATTACGAGGCGTGAACAAATGCGCTCCTTTCTTTAGCGTCAGGGCAGATTTGGCTCCAGCGTGGAAAGACAGGGATGGCAGAGATGTTTCTCTGTGTTCGTTGTAAGGGCACTTCCCCAAAGCACCTGGAGCTGCCCTGCACTGTTTGCATGAAGAACAGCCAATTTAGGGGCCAACTATGAAGGATAGGATGAATACAGTTTCGCATTTTGATTAAAATCTCTAATGACGCAACTTGAAAAAAGACGACTTTTTTCAACCACTTTATGGTGCCCAAATCCTGAAATTCTTCCTCAGGTCTCCTGCAGGTTTTGAACGTTCCACCAACAATTAGACCAACCTTTGAAGCATTATGTCTCTTGTTGTAATGACCAACCTCTGGCTGAGCAACGAACATGAAAAACTGACAGGCCTCTAGTGCTCCCATGTACCAAAGTTTGCAAACTTTGCATTGCCAGGGAATCAGGCAACCAGCCCCCTTCCATTTGCAGAGACAGAACTATGATCGGGAAGGACCAAATAGGAGAGGAAGTTTCTGTTACCCCTTACTCCCAAGCGTTACACCTGAACTACTTGCATTCCATGATGTCATCTGCTAATTATGCTGTCACGCAAATGATGCCAACCACCATAAATGATGTGAAACTATCGTCAACTGAGCTGCCTCATCCAGACTAACATGGCTGCTATTTTGGTCAGATCTTTGGCTTGTTGTATCTGAAGTCTGCTCCATGGGGTCCATTAAATCAAGTTTCACTCTACTGAGAAAATGGGCAACATCCTTAATTCACAGTGCAAACTGGCGTCGGTGTTTTCCTTCCCTTGGGTCTTGCAGGAATGCAGGACTGTTTGGTTCTGATGAGTGGACTTCAACTCCCAGAATTCCCCAGCCACTCAGGCTGGCTGGGGAATTCTGGGAGTTGAAGTCCACTCATCTTAAAAGTTGCCAAGGTTGAGAAACACTGGATTAATAAATAGCTTCTCTGTAGCACCAACCTAGGAGGAACAGCAACCAGGGGTTCAGAACAATTCTACCCCTTCGAAGCCTTTCTGAAAAAGGAGACCCAGCGTCCATACCTGGTACTTTGATTAATTGCTTGTAAACACTCAGGAACGCTGCCTCGGCTTCCTTGGTCCTTTTGCTGAGAGCAACCACCTGAGGGAAACATAAAAACAAGACCACAGTCAAGAAACCATCAAGACAAAAGGAACAACCAGAATAAAAACTGTATCTCACTGGTTACGGAAATGATAATCATTACTTTAAGAACACTGGATGGAAAGAAAGCCGTGTAGGACTCACCATGTTTTGGGGATAAAAGATGGCATTGCTAAGTTCACAGAACAAGGGAACAGACACAGCAGATGAAAAAAAATCCCTCCTCTATTTTTGATTCAGCAAATATTTATGTATTTAAAGTCCCGGCAGGAGAGGTTCCTGCCAAAAGGCAAAAGGAGATAAGAGGTTCCCCTTGAAGTAGCAGGAGCCCATCTCCCACTCGGCGGGAGTAAAACATTTTTGCCTCTTGCCTGCTCTCCCAACCAAAGGCAGAACAACACTCATGTCCTTGTAACGTTGCTCATTTATTTATGCATTATTTACTCTTTTCATTCTGCAAAAGCAGGGGCTTTTTCATCTGCTGAAGTCAGAGAAACATCACCTGTCATTTTTCGGTTCCCTCACGGGCAGGAAATAAGTAACTAAAGAGGCTAGTCACACCAGAGGTTGTGGTCCAAAAACTCAAAATGGCAGCCACAATGATGCAGTTGTAGCATCACATACATTTGAAATCTTAACTTGTGGAAAGCTTGTAGCTTGGGATTTGTGTGTGTGACAAATGCAGTCAAGGGCAGTGTTTCTCAACCTTGGCAACTTTGAGATGTGTGGACACACCTTAAAGTTGCCAAGGTTGAGAAACACTGGTCTAGGGGCTTCAGGTTGTATAGCCTTCATATAGCTGATTTATGAAACCATTTCCCCATCCTGCCACTTGTCTTTTCACTGTGAAAGTCTTCTGGAGCAAAAAATTAGAAAAGTCCAGCATATCTCCATCAGCAAAAATGCTGCCCATCCAACCCTGTGTGTTATTCCAGACATCCAGCTATATCTTCAACTGCAAACGGTCCCCTAGAAATCAAACAATCCTCAGCCATCCTCTTCACAAATAGTTGCCCCCAATCCCACCTCACTACCTTGATAATCTTCTAGTGAAGTAACCTCTAGTGCAGGAAAACTAATCCAAGGGCCAGGAAAGACGGAAAGGAAGGTTCCTCCCCCCACCTTAGGCTTGAAAGGAAAAAAGAGCTTGCAAATCTTTCACCCAAGACCGAATTTAAATTGCTTGTCATTCAGAACAGAAGCAGCAGGCATTTTCAATTCTCCAGCCACCTGAGCAAGCGGCCTTCGCTGCTTCCAGGCCCTCCATCCCATTTGTGGTGGGTGTTGCATAACCTGTGGCATTAAGCATTCATGCATGTTTCTTCCATTTTTTTATACTTCCAGATGGAGCAGAAATTTCTGGAGCAGAAATTTTACCAAGCATTTCCCAGTCAGTTTCCACAAATCCAGAATCAGCCTTGGAGGGTCTTAAAAAGACTTCTATCCTGGTTCGGTTACAGTTGTTATAAAATAGAGGGAGCAGGTCTGCATATGTAGAATAATCCATGCGGTAGGGCTTCTGAGCGCTTAGCACACCTTCCCCAATCGGAGATCCTTCAGATGTATTGGGACTGCGGCTCCCAGAATTCCAATGGTTGCAGAATTATAGGGGTCCACGTCCCACACATCTGGACAAGACAGAACTGGGGAAGGCTTCTCTAGAGTAGAAGATGCCATCTTTATTTGGGAAACTTTTATAGGAGTTGAAAAAGTTCTTGCAGGTCCCCATATCTGTCTGTCTTGCAGCTCCACTTGGCCACAGTGGCCACTTCCATTATCTGGTTTAAATGCAACATTTTCAGCAATTTGATCCTGATGGAGTACTCACTGGAATTTGACTTGTGCTTATTCTTATTCTACTCATAAATAAAAGGAGAAAGGTAAATGTCACAGCACAACTATAATTTGGCATTCATCAACCAAAAGCTTGCCCTTTCTTTGTCTAAACCTCCCTCAGCTCAATCCAGCTGTTTAGGATGGTAGGCTGACAGACCCTAAGATCTCCAGGTCCTTGAGTTTTCTCCCTGTTGAACTCAACAAATAGTTCTTAGGAAGGGAAACCCCAGCACTGCCCATCTGGGAAGAACCAGTGATCTCATCCTCATGTCCAGCCCATGGAAAACAGCTCCATATCCCACATGCTCCTCAGACATTTTGCGAGAAATACTTGGACCACTCCAGAATGAAACAGACTGAAGCTCCATTCTTAGATGGTCAGTTTTGACTCTTCATGGATGCTATTTCCATCCCTAGTAATATTCCTTCTGCTCTCATCCATTTCTTTTAGTTGTACCAGTGACCACAGTTCATTCCATGAAGAGCTGAATCAAGGGGAGTCATTCAAAGCAGAGCTGGGCCATATGCAGACTACATGCAGCCCTCCAAGACATTGTTGTTGTTGTTTTTTGACAAACCCAGAAATTCTGGGTCACCAAATTCTGATGGCAAATCATGGAAGAATGCTAGCTTGATAGCTGGAGAATTGGGGGGGGGGGGAGGGTTAGATCAGATATTAAGATTGGGGGGAAAGAACCCACCCATTTTGGTGATGTCAGTAGGTCCCTGACCTGCCCATTGCAGCTCCTGGACTCCTACTTTTTAAAGTGCCCCCTCAACAATCTTGAAGCTTCCCATACCTGCTCCGGGAAACAGGAATAAGTACAAGAATGAGAGATCTTTCCTCCTCCATTCCCCTCACTGCACCTTCTGTACTGGCTTAGGTTCTGAAAGAACTGCTTGACTGAGGCTGAGCAAACCGAAGGGGCCCCAACACGCCGTCCTGAGAACCCAGCTGAAAGGTCCAGGTGCTTCATCACCTGCCCAATGAACCAAAAGAAAAAGGAGCTCCCGCTGAGATAAACCAGGTAATCTAAGGAAGCAACGAGGGTTTAGCTGGCCCCGTCAATTGCTCCGGCTTGGCTCCCGTGTGAAATGACACATCCCTGGCACACACTCAGAGTTTGCTCAAGCCAGAGCTGGAAAGTGAATCCAGATGCCCTAAGAAGGCACAGAGTACACCAAGCTGGCCAAGTGATTTTTGCTCGTGTCCGTCTGTTTCTGGCCCTTGGAGTCACTGCCTCTCGGCGCCTGACCAAGCTGGAAGCATCAGCGAGGGAGTCAACGTACCCGCCCCGCCGACACACGTATTCGGTCCTTGCTCCCTACTCCCTGGAATCTGAAACCTCCCCAGCCTCCTCTCACTTTTATACATCAATGTATCATTAACTTTTTCTTTCTCTGCGTGTTTCTTTCTACCATGCATACCGACTCAAGGTGAGAGAAAACACAACTGTGCTTTCCGCAACGACGCAAGATTGATGAATTACATTTCTGCTCCAGGTCTTTTCCATGGCTGGTGACTTTCCAGCAAAGCAATTATCACCGTAGAATACATAATGGCCTAATTAATTACTACTGTCAGACTGGCCTCTATGCTATGATTATACCTTATCAAGCCAACTCTCTCTCTCTCCCCCCCTTTCTCTCTCTTTTTAAAGCAACATTGAGAAGCAAAAATATTATTGCAATTGACAGATTTAAAAAAAGGTTGCCTCCTGCCTCTGCCTCTGCCTCTGCCTCTGCCCTTCTCCTTCCTCCTACCCTCAATCTCTCTGTTGATATTTTGCCTAAGATCAGGGTGCATTTATACACAAACAGTTTAAAAATGCAACATTGCCTCCAGGTGTAATTGCAACTGAAGAAAGCTTGGGCAATACGCTTGCTTTTCTCTTTTTCAAACAACCCAGATAGATTATATTTTAATTCAAATGGTCACTTCGTAACAGCAACAACAACATAACAGTAACTCTCCCTAAATTCTATTTTTGCCTATTCTCCTTGTTTCTTCTTGTAAGGCCTCCTCTGTGGCGGTGCCAACGTTGCAGACCCCCGAGGTTTCCTGGACTCAGGAGATTCTTAGCACAACTAGCTAACGGACACCCTGCAGCCATTCCTCCTTTCCGTCCCTCCATGGATGACTCCCCTGGTAACAGAAAGACTGAAGGAGCATCAGAAAATCACAGCAGAATTGCACATGGAAGATGGAGCCCCATAAAGCCTCCTCTAGTTCTGCCCATGGCACAGGAGGAGGGCAAGATAGAAGACTCACCTGGGAGAAATAACGATGCTTTTTTCCCCAAAAGCATCCAGAGCAGGGAGAAAGTGGTTGCTTATTATTTCCTTCTTAGTCAACTTATTTATAAGCGACTTCTAATCATGAAAGATAACAAGCCAATTCTTCAAATAAAAAATCACCCCCAGCATTTTGGTTCAGCACTGCAGTTTTACACCGGCTTCGTAGCTGTCTTATGAAAAATAAGTTAAAATAAATAAAGTTGGAACAAACAGGAAGTACAGGTAAAAGGACAGGTTCCAATCCTCCTTGTATCAGCAATATTTTTAGAAAGACAGGACCGAAACAGAGATTTTGCTCTCACAGAAGAGAATGATATCCCTCAGATTAAGCCCTGATGAGGGTGTTAAGTCTGAATGTTCAAAAACGAAGGGCAAAATACAAGCTTAGCCTAATTTACATTAACAAAGGTAAATAATTTGAAATAGAAACATTGGAAAGGCAATTCAAAGGAAGACTGAACATCATTCCAATTCAAGATTAAAAAAAAAAAAGAATAGCTCTAAAGACTCTTAATGAGAAATGGAGCAAAGGATGACTTAAAGGAGAAGAAGAGAGTGGAAAAGAGTTTAAATTATTTAGATTGCCAAGATGATGATGCTGAATGAAAGAAAGTTGCTGCTGAGCATTCATTTTGTCGTAACACTTCCTGACAGACACAGTAATGCTCTGGCAAAGTTCTTCACGTTAGGGTGCTCATCCCATTCAAACTTCTTCAATGAACCCCACGTCTCTCGAGCCACAGGGCACCCTGTTCCTGTCTCTTCCACCATTTGGTGGGAATATCAGCTGGGCTCAAAGCGGATGGAGCTGGGCATGGTCTCCCATCAGCATGAAGACTGGCTCGTGGACAGACCGCACGCTGGATGCTCCCACCCCTCCTCCAAATGCTCTTTGCCCCTCAAAATCATTTCCAGCCCCCCAGCTGGTCTTTCTATCTTTTGGGACTATGGTGAGCTGCTGAGTAGGGGGGGTTCAAAATCTGGCACTGCCCAAAGCTGCAGCATTTCCGCCCCCTGAGCAGGACTCAAGGGGGATGCGCAGGACTTGTCCTGTCACAGCCGTTACTCTGTCTAGGGAACAGTTAAAGGGCTAAGGGAACCATGGGGACCAATGGGTGTCCCTGATCTCACCCTTCCATACAGCCTGACAGTTAGATAAGGGCTGATTTTTGCTTTAAAAGAACTACATAACATGCACAGGAATGAACAAGTGATGTCTTCAAAAGTACAGCTATTGGTGGCCCAAATTATGTTGTCTTTCTGACATCTCCCTCTTGTTAAAAAAAAAAAGACAACTAACCCCAAAAGATGGTCTGAAATTCTCAAACTGGGGAGCCCACTCCCTTTGGAACTGCGGACAGTCTCCCCATTTTGAGAAAGGGCACCGTTTTAATAATGGCTTTTTAGCATATGGCTTGTGTTGTTTTACGTTTGTAATTACTGCATTATGTAAATTATGCTTTTAATGGTTGTTTTTAATTAAGCTGTTTGTTTTGCATTCTTTTGACCATTAGCCATTCTGCAGTGGAAGGGCAGGGTATAAAAACAAGAAATAAATATGCAAGAAAGCAGTTTTGCAGCCCTGAATTGGGAGAGAAATAGTAAAGCAGGCTCTTAAAATTCAGCTAGCTGGGCATGAAGAAGTCAATCTGCCGAGAATCTGGATACTTGAGATGGTCTCAGGATGTCACAGCGAGAGAGACCAAGACCCTTCCCAGGGTGTGTTGGCTTCTCTTCTTTATTTATTATCCCAAAACTAATTTTTCTCAGCAACTGGAGGAGAAATTAGCTGACCCAGCCCTCGTTCTTTTTGTCCTCCTGCAAGTTAGATATTTGAGCAAGATAATGTTTCACCTACATTTTCATGCAAGAAAACTTTTAATTTAGATATTTTCATCCCTCCAAGAGGAGGAGGACGAGGAGGACGAGGAGGACGAGAGAGAGAGAAGAGAAAAAAAGGAAGTTTCAAATAATGACTGTAATAAATGAAGGTAATTAATTGTAGTTTGTTCCTTAACTGTCTAGTCAGCTTAATTTTACCTTTTCATCTAATAATGAGAAAATAATTTTTGTGCTCTGAGGGTTAATGATATGTAACTGCAAGAGCTGCTAATTGCATGTTGCAAACTATTCATCAGAATCCCCATCTGTGCTACTTGATTATGTTTGCTAAATTATTGCTTTGAATTATCTTTCATAAAGCAACTTTTGTAATTAGCAGGGCTCTGGCTTTGCTCTTTTTGCCGTCTGCAAGGAGACTGGGGGGAAAAAAAACCAAGAAAAGAACTTTGGCCATTTCAATCTGTCGCCGCTCCACTTCGGTCACGGGCAGCCTTTTGTCTTCTCCAGGATGGAAAATTAAACTTGGGGCCTTATTTATCGAAATCAGGTTACAAAAGAAAGGCTGTCTGTCTTTCCTGTCCACCTCCCCAGTAATGCCACGGGTATTTATTCTTTCACCTCACCCACCAGCACAGCACTGCGCTGGAAATTTGCAGAAACCCCAGGACTGTTAGCAAATCACGGAGCCGCCAGGGTGGGTGGGGGGCACTGCTCCCATTCTTGTTGCCAGGGGTCTGCAAGGAAGGGAACAGCCACAGGTAGAACATACTTTGCCTGCAGACGTCCCTGGGTTTCGTTTCTGCAGAAGCTCTGGTGGGAACCCCTTTTTCTCCTCTCATCTTTTGAATAACCTTTTGGATTCCAGGTCTCCAGTCTGAAGCATTCCAAACAATACTATTCTTTGCTTTTATTGTACCTGGCGATGCAGGGGGGATCCAGGCTTCATGAAGACAGGAGTGCCCTTCATCAACAGGCCTGGTCCTTTACACAGCCCAAGGGGCCTACAACCTCTAACTGAATGAGCCAATTCCAGAGGTTAACCTCAGAAACCGAGTAAGCAGGGAACATGTAGTCCTGCCTGGTTCAGATGTGGTGGCCACCAACAGCCTCAGAAAAGACTCAGATTGTCCCAGTCAATGACCAGAGTTAACAGGTCAGGACCGCACCACAGAATGGTAGTATATTTCTTTTCCTCCAAGAAAACCATTCTTGGCTCTTGTTGTTTATCTAGATCCATTTTCTCTTCTCCCAGAAGATCTACGGACTAAGCTGAATTACAGAACAGTAGAATGTGGTTCATTCTTTATAAAAATGAAACTGATTCATCCATTTCTTGGCTGAGCCATCTCTGATTTGCACTATTTCCATACAGAAAGACTATTTTTCGCTAGTGGGTAGCTTCAAACACTCAGCCCAATCTCCCCATCTTATACATTCAGGGTGCAATTTTACAATGCAGATTCTGTTGATTATATAAAATGGCCTTAAGGCTTAAATAGATGAAGAATTTAAAAAAAATCTACATTCTTTATATTTAATCTGCTTGAAATCCATATTATAGTCCCTCAGAAACCTGATGCTTGAAATAATGAAAAACTACTGTGTAAGTAGTAAGATTTCAATACAAATGTCCTCCAAAATGCTCAGGGATACGTGGTTCCATTTCCCTTTTTTTGATTCTCTCAATAACTTTGTGAGGAAAGTCAGGGTGGAGAGAAGGGGAGGCCCGGAGTTGTAGCTCCAAATATCTGTAAATACCACAGCTTTTGTATTGTCGAAGGCTTTCACGGCCATAATACAATGGCTGGTGTGGGTCTTCCGGGCTGTGTGGCCGTGTTCTGGAACAGCCACACAGCCCGGAAGACCCACACCAGCCACCACAGCTTTTGTTCAGATCTAAAATAGAAGCAAGCTTTGCATTTCGAACAAGTTCTTCCATCTTTCATTACATTTGCACCGTCTTTCGTTTTGGAGTCCCCAGTTTTGTTCACAAATGTTTCTACAATGATTTTAAAAAAAGTACCTTGGTACTGGTCTCTTCTTACCTCTGCCTGGAAACTTTTTAAGACAGGAGCCACCATATCGCGAACCTCCTGAAGGAGGGAAAAAAAGGAGGGATGGGAATTCTCTTGTTTAGACATCTAAGGCAAGGAGGTTCAAGGGAATCTGGAGCTCAACATCTGGATCCTAATTCAGATTCCCAACTTAAACTTTAACTGTACAACATCTGTGGCCACACTGTCGAGCATTGATTAGTCTCTTTCTTGTATGCACATCTCCCATCCCTCTCAGCAAACACTTTTGGGGACTACAAAGGTAGCAGGGAATGGGCCTTGGGGTCACCTCCACCTTTTCCTCCATTAATCTGAATGTTGGAGAAACTACTCTAGAGAAGCCATTGATTACCTTCCCACCCATCTGGAACATTTTTTTTTAATTATGCAAAGCAAAATTACAGGTAAGCATAAGGAGCGACAAAAAAAGCCCTTAACTGTCAAACTGGCTAAATTTATTCCGGGGGGGGGAAGAATGAGGAAGAGCACAAGTAACAATAACCGCAAAATCTCACTCTTGGGATGCCAAGCTGCCTGCTACAAGGCCCTCAGTATTTTGATTTTTAAACAGTTGCTTGAATAAGAGGAGGAGGAGGAAGAAGAAGGGGCATTTACTTAAAAGAAAGAGTTTTGAGGAATCTTGGGGTATTTTGCATTGATGTCCCGTAACCCCAGGCATTCCAGGTCTGTAGCTGCCGCATTCTCTTTCTCCCCCGCCAAACAGCCCTTCTAGTCACAATTAGTCATAACTGAATATCTGAGGTTGTAATTTGCCTTTATGCTTTCCCATCACTTATCCTTTTTTTTTTAGTGCCCCAAAGACCAAAATGTGCCCTCAAAAGCCGAACCCGTTGGATGAAAAAAATACTTATCCCTCAAGCTAATTCCAGAAAAGCAAGATACCATACCTCAGGTACATTTCTTTTAAATTCTTGGCTGAGTTCAATTAAATGCTTATGAGAATGTTCGCTCTCTTCCTGACGTGCAGCCAGTTCAGAAGCCACAGAATTCAGTTCCTTCTGGAACGAAAGAAAAACAAAACATTAAGAGAGAAACAGAAACGTGAGTCGCATTGTCTTTCATGATGTGCAAATATTTTCTTAAGCTACTTTCCAACACCACCTTGAAAATCGAAGGCAGGCGCAAGCGGGGAATGAGCCTTTTGTACCCACAAATGATGGAATTAGGTTTCGGATGATAAATTTGAAATATGGTGGGAACCCCAATCCCTTGGGCTGAAGAAAGGTAATAACTTTGCCCCTCTTCTGGCCAAGAGTGGGAGTTGACTGGGAGGGAAGAAAGCAGTTTAAGGCACAAACACTCATTCTTGCCTGTTTAAAAACATCAATCCCTCATTTTTCTTGCATGAAACGTTTTTAAGTAGCTTACTATGGAAAAAATGCAACAGTGATCTTAAACCAGTTATAAAAGCAACAAACGCATCGAAAGGTAAAAGTTGCATCCACAGTCAGTGTTCAGATGAGGTACACTGGGCCATGGCCTCTGCCTTATTCACAGAACGTTAGGGAGAAGGGGTGTAGAGGTTCCCACTTGGAAACTCCATGGTTTTCCCATCAGTTCTTCCATCTTTTTCTAGCCACAGAAAATTTGCTACAGAGGAACCGGAAGCAATGTGGAGGGGATCCCAGTACCATCCACAGGAAACTGCAGTGGACACATTACAAAGGGGGTAAGAATCTAAGAAGAGTCCACTCCCCCTTCCTAGCCGGTTAAAGTCTGTTGTCTGTGAATTAGGATGCAGCAAACAGCCATCAAGGCTTCTAGCCCCTGATAACCCACCATGAGTTTCGAAAACCCTTTTGAAAACCACCTGAACAGATGGCCCCAGTGACGTCGGACTCCCTAGTTTCATTCTGCGTTGTATGTTGTTTTCTTGGTCCTGAAAGTTCCTACAGTTAGCCTCAAAGATTCACTCTATTCTAAAAGAAGAGCTGCTGATATCCATCTTCTCCACACCACGTATGGTTTTACCCGACAGTCAGCTGCTTTCACGCCAGACTAAAATGTCTTGTCTCCTGAGAGCTGCATTTATCCAGCCTGCCCCTTTCCAGCTCTCCAATACCTTTTGGAGGTCCAATGACTCTAAATGTGTACAGCTTTCACATGAAGAGCAGGCAGTGCATGGAACGGGACAAAACCAACTCTTCATGAAAAGGGCCACACATCTGCCGACACCTGCCACGCCTTTCAGCCCCTACCAATTCCAAAAGGCTACCTCAGAAAGAGAATACATTGCACGCTCCGAGAGGAAGAACAAACCCAGATTAGATTGGTTTGTATGTAAACAAATAAATACAGATGGGGGGTCAAATGAATGAAACACTCAACCGATCAATATTTTTAATACACAGATTTGGTTTTTTCTTAGCAACTGTAAGAAAAACATAGCAATAGTGTCAAAATAATAAAAGAGCACCATATTGCACTGTGTGAGTTCTTTTTTTAAAAAAAAATCCAAGTCCATGCTACCATCAGCTGATGCATAATAGCATAGAAGGAAGATGTCCAGATTGCAACTAATTTACGTGTGCTTTTTGGCATTCATAAATCGTCTTTTAAAAGATCTGGATGGCTTTTTAATTTCAGTGGAATTTGGAGAGGGGATTTGTGAGGAAAGTGGGTTACAAAAATGGCAGAATTAAGAAGGGTGACCTGAGCAGATCCCTGTGAGTCAAGCTCAATTCACTTGGAGAGTCAAGAAGTAATTCACGTCAAGATTATGGATCTGGATGATGTTGGCTTTTGGAGGGAAGAAACTGGCATGTGAGGAACAGAGCAGGAAAGTATGGATTTTTTTTCAATCTTTCTACAATTCTTTTAAAAGATGTAAAACAGAAACAAAAGCACTGATATATCCCTATCAGCCCATTGTGCTCTTCCCTTTTGGGGGAAGCAAGGTTATGCAGGGCACAGAAAATAAGAAACAGCAAGCCAACAAAATTACAGGCCTGAGATAAGAAAACGAAAAGGAAACATAGCCAAAACTAGTTTACACCAAGACCATTCACTATACCTCTCCACGCCTTTCGATCCTTGCAAACCATCCTTGTTTCTACCAAATCCATTCATTTGATCAAAAGGGCAGGTCGGAGTTTAATCCTGCCCTGGAGTTTGGATCTCCTTGGTGAAAGAGGGGAATCATCCCGCCACCCATCCTAGGACCCCAAAATAGTGTTCCCAGACCCTGATGCCCTCCAGGTACTTTGAACAACTCCCACCGTTGACCAAAGGTGGGGAATTCTGGGAGCTGGGGTTTGAAAAAGGCTAGCCCAAATGTGCCAAACCAAGGTTGGGGGACCACACAGGCCTCCCCACCTTTTCTTTCCTTTCTGTTCGGGCAGCCCCAGGACCCTCTTGGGCAGCCTTCACCATGTCGAGTGATTTCTCAGCCCAATTGTGGCAGAATTAATTTTAATCGGTGTCACCAGCTTCTGGCAGGCTTTATATCAAACCAAGCAAACAGGGAGGGAAAAGGAGGTTGGGAAAACCAGTCGAAGTACACCAAGAGAGAAGAGACAGGTCCAAAGGGGACCTGGGCTGCCGCTGGTGACTGGACCGTACTGCTAGTTTTGACCGTATTGGATTTATTCCTGCCGGTGATTTTATGTTGGTTCTGTTGACTTTTTTCTCTTCTTCTGTTGCTTTTATTCTCTTGAGCCTCTTTATTCTACCCTATTTCTGCTGCTATGTTGTGTTTTTCAGTCGTTTTCTCTCTGTAGTATTTTCAGATTTCCTTGAGCTGGTTTCCCCCGCTGCTTTTTAATTACTGTTTTAGTGGAGGGCTTAACTGTTTTATTATTATTTGATTGGTATGGATTTTATTTGCGTTTTTATTGTACGTTGCCTTGAGAGCTATTATAGATAGGACAAACAACCCGTTTTTAAAAGAAATAAACAAACCAACAAGGGAGGCTTTGATGCCTTAAACAAAGCCACTTTTGTATGCTTGCTTGTGGGGGGAACCCCAGTAGAAGGAAATAATGGTCTCAAAGCGTTACACATTTTTAAAAAAGGGTTTCCATCTCATACTTTAGGAGCCTAACTGGCCAGCTCCTCTGCCACTTTCAATGGCATTAAAGTCACGCAAATATCTCATGTCGGGATCACTTCTAGAAAACATCAAAGGAAGATGCGGCCACAACCCTGCTCTTCTAATCATTGCTAACTCCTATCTCAATTAGTTTGTTAAATATAGGTATAATAAAGACGGAATGGAAAAATATCTTGGAAGAAGGCTACGATGGGCCACTTCCATAGTGCTACAAAAACACTGCACGGTTCCATGATTCAAAGAACATCTTTCCTTCACTTTCATTCTACAGATGGCTTTGTTCTCCATGTTGCTTAGGGCAAGGGGCAACCACTTCCAGCCCACCTCCAGCCCGCTACTGCCAATAACCCCCAACACTGTTTCCTTCCAATTTGGGGCAAGAAATCCAATTATATCTTGGGCGACCATGAAACCCTGGCCCTTCCTACAGATGGCACACAGCTTCGCTCGCTCTGCCTCCTTGCCCCAAATGTTCAGGGTGGTCTCCAGTCTCAAAAAGGTGGACCATTCTTGGCTTAAGGATGGCTTTAATTAGAAGCCAATCTGAAATACTTTAAAGTAATTAGATAATCAACCATGAACTAAATTCATGGCTCTCGTTCCCTGTACCTTCCCTGCACTGCTCTTCCTGGGTCTATGGGGCTACAGGGAAGAGGCCAGATGGTTGGTTTCAAAAAGGACGCAGCCTGGACTCTCCCTCAGGGCAGAGATGCAAGGAAAGGTGGCGTGCAGAGGTGCGGCGACATTGCCATATTTGAGATGCAAGGAAGGGGAAGACAGGAGCGCAAGACAGATAGTGGCGCAGCAGCCTCTCAGTAGACAGGCCGGTTTCCAGGAGCTATCAATCATTTTCCTACGTATTATGTAAATTCTAGATGCTAAAGATGTATGGAGTCCATTACCAGGGGTCGCGACGGCGTGCTAAATTCGTCCAATGAAGCCCCTTTCGGTCTCCGCTGAATTTGAGAGATTGCAAGCTTTCTGCCTTTTATTGGATCATATAAATATTTCACTGTTAGATATAAAAGAAATGGGAGAAAAAGCAGATAAAAAAACATGACCCGTGCGGATAGAGAAAGAGAGAGAGAAAAAGCAGGGAGCCAGACATGGCGGTGGCCGCTTTTTATCAGCTTTACAGCACGTTCCACAAACAGCCGGGTTGAGAAGCAGAGTTTTCATTTGTTTCTTTTATTATTCTACAGCACTCAGGATAGGAGAGGGGAGGCAGAGGGCAGACTCAGCGGTGAAGCTAGCAGGGGGGTCAATCGGCTGCAAGCGCCGGCCTCAGAAAGAAACACAGAGAGTTGCTTGTGGCACTCCTGCGCAAGGGAGCATTGATGCAAGGAGGAGCGGCAGCAGTGCCCTCCCGTCAGAGGATGCTACAGAGCATCTCTGCACGAGTCCCTGCTCTGGGGTGACCTCCTTCCCAAAAGGCAACACATACAGAGGAGGAGGAGGAGGAAGATTGGGATTATTTATCAGGATATGGCATCCCCATGATGGCAGGACAGCCCTTTTGTGAGAGAAGCCACAGGAGCCTGTCAAAATTCTGCTCCCTGGCTCCAAACAAATGACCACCCTGGAGTAGACAACAGGTGACTGCATGGACAAAGAGGCTAAACTGGTGGCCTTCAGTGGCCTAAACTAGTTAGCTGACTGGGCTGTGGGATTTAATCAGAAAGCCAAAAGAACAATTAACCTGGATGAATAAACTTGGGCATTAGCACTCTGGAGTCCCCAGCAGATCCACCTCCTGCTATGAAGAGACTTCGACAGCATTGCTTGTCCCCCCCACAGCATGTGCCTCCCACCTCTCCAGACCCACCTTCCTATCTTCCTGAGAACAAACATCTTGCACGCCTCTGAAAACCACTGTCCTTCCGTCTTGAGATGCCATTACAATAATTTCGATAAACCTCTGAAGCCAGAGATTCCATTTTAGAT